GATCCCCCTGACAGCCATGTATTAGATTTTGATTTATATTCTTCCAAAGCTAAAATCAAAGATTCCATCTAGTGCTATTTTATGGCTCAGCTGTATTTTAAATTTTTATGTTATTTTAAGTGATTTCCCTATCCACATTTGTTTGCAGGGCACTTGTCCTATTCTTACCCCCATGTTACTTCCTTTTGCAGCCCTCTAGCCCTTTCCAGGACCTTTTTAGAGACATTTTTGTGGCCAAAAATTTACAGATTTTACTATTAACATGACGTAAAGTCATGATTTTATTAATGACACGGAGGCGAGTATTATGCTGCACTCTTTCTTTATTTACCTCAGCAGCAAAGAAAAATAACATTAAATCAGTATAAAAGAAACCAGTAAATAACATGAGGTATATCTTCCTAGCAACAGCAACAGCCAATCAGCATCCTCTTTATAGCATAATAGGCAGTGTCCAGTATACTACTTCCTCTTTCTTGCGATCCCGAACAAGGACAACAAATCCAAATAAAAAGTGGGCTCCAATTAGAAGGTATACGAGCCTTAAACTGGATCTAGAAGTCAAGCTGGAAGAGAAAAGAGAATATGGTAATATCCAAGTATAAAACTGGATTTATGCATAAATTCACATTACATGAAATATCAGATATATATATACACATAACATGAAATTCAGTTTAGTCAAACCTTAAGCTCTTGACAGTCATTAACAAGGATAAAACCCAGTAATCAAAAAAGACTTACCGTGAAGTCAACTTACCCAGAGAAGACCAAATCTCCAGGGATGGGAGGGAGGGATAATACTCGCCTCCGTATCATTAATAAAATCATGACTTTACGTGATGTTAATAGTAAAATCTGTAAATTTTATTAAGACACGGAGGCTCCTATTATGCTAGTTCAAAGCTGTGAAATTATGTCTCCTGTGAAGTGTTGAATAGGTCTAAAGTAGAAATCATGGAATGTAGACTCTGAAGACCAGCCGCTCTCATAATATCCTCCAAGCGACAACCAATCGAGGAAGCCTTAGAAGCCATTGCCCTACGAACCGAATGAGGCACTGACACATAGGTATCAATACCTGCTAGAGACATAACGTATTTGACCCACCAGGCTAGAGTAGACACCGGAAGATGCGACTTTTGGAAGAGTTCCTGTTTCAAAGGATTCTGTAACGTAGTAGAACGATGTTCACACACCCATTAGTATGCAACAGGGCAAAGGAGAGATCTATCAGGGAAAACTGGGTAAGATAGATTTTAGAGGAGGTTTTTGTCCTCCGTGAAATGTCAAAGAGGACACCTTCTGGAGTAAAGGAACGAGCAACCACCTCACGAGCTCGTACGTCAGAAAAACCTCTTGCAAGAAAAATAAATAAAAAATTCAAGACAATAGAGACGTCCCACAAGACAGAGTATCGTGGTAAGGGTGAATGAGCAAACCATATTCCTCAGAGAAGTCAATATATGACAGGATGTCAACCACAGGCGTCCAATCAAAACTTTGATGGCCAGCAGAAATGGACGATCGTTAAGGTCCACAGTGCGATAGGCTTTACCTTCATCATAGAAGCCAGAAAAATGGAGGACAGACATAAAAGGAGCCGATATGGGATTTAAATTTATTTTCATGCACCAACTATGCCATCTGCTCCAAGCAGATTTATAAGCCTGTCTCGTGTTGGGTGCACCCTTGATAGGTTGGGGAGTTGATTGCGAAACTCCCTTGACCGACCAAGGTTCCCTGAAATAGACTACACTATGAGATGCAAGAGACCTTGGAGAACAAGAGGATGAGGTACACCATCTGGATCCTGAAGAAGGCACTCGAGAGATGGAAGGTTGATAACCATCTCCTGAAGAAAAGAGAACTATGGTTGGGATGGCGATAGAGGAGCCACGATCAACAGGTGCCGGACTGGCGATGTAGATGGAAAGGCAAAAAAATCATAATTCCTTGGAGAAAACATTCATAGCCAATGCTATCGGATCTGGTCTCCAACTGAAAAAATGGGGAAGCTGAGCATTCAAACGAGAAGCAAAAAGATCTATTTCCAATAGACCCCATAGGTTCCAGATGTCTTGGAAGACCATGGAATCCAAGTGCCAGTCGCTGGAATCTCCGAGTTGGCGTGAATACCAGTCCGTCATAGTGTTGGAGAGACCTTGAATATATTCTGCCGTGACTGAAATGCCGTGACTCAGGCAAAATTGCCAGCAATCACGAGGCATGTAGGTCAGAATTTTGTATTTTTTGTCTCCAAGTGATTGATGTAGCGGACTGCTGACACGTTGTCCATCTTCAGAAGGATAGCGCATTGGGCTTGAGTTGGGGAGAAACTATGGACTGCAAAGGAACCGGGTGTTCCAAACAATTGATGTGGAGTGTTGATTCCAGGTTTGATTATCTACCCTTGGTGGAAATAGTTCTGCATTGAGCACCCCAACCGTGCAAACTTGCGTCGGATTTGATTATCAAATCTGGAGCTGTACAAAATATGGTGTGCTTATTCCAAGCTTCCATGTGAAGAAGCCACCATTGGCGTTCATTCTCTGCTTCTGAGTCCAGAGTTACCATATCTGTGTATGATGTGCTGCCCTTGAGATGAAGTTTGTAATCGTTGTAGGGCTCGATAGCCAAGAAGACCTGTAGAAATGGCCTGTATAGATGCCGCTAGAAGGCCTAACATTCTCAACAGTTGTTTGAGAGAGAGAGTTGAGAGGTTGCTAGTGTTCGGCTATCTCCTTCTTTATATTGGCTAATTTTACCACCGGAGGGTGTAGAGTTTGAAGGGTAGAATCTACAATAATCCAATATAACCCAGAAATTGTATTTGTTGCGTGGGAACGATAATGGATTTCTCCCAATTGGTCAGGAAGCCTAGGTTCTCTAACAGAGTCAAAGTCCATGCAAGGTATGTCCGGATTAATTGAATAGACTGAGCCAGAATGAAAATGCCATCTAAATATATTATAAGATGTGAGCTTGGTGAAGCACCATGGAGCCGAAGACAGTCCGAATGGGAGGCACCTGAACCTCTATTTACTGCCCTACCATGTAAATTGCAGGAAGTTCTCGATCTTGATGTTGTACTGGGATAGGCACTCTGAGATATGCATCCTGCAGATCCAGTTTGGCCTTCCAATCTGCTGGTTGGAGAAGATCCCTTAAACAATGCTCTCCTTCCATCTTGGAAGTGCTGATATGCTCATAACTATTGAGCAGTCTCAAATTTATTACTGGACGGATACCTTTGCCTTTTTTGGGAAACAAGAAAAGGTTGCTCACGTAAACCAGGGTATGCGCCAGAATCTCTACAATTGATTGTCCACAGAGACAAGGTCTGTGTCTCATTGGGAAAAAACAATTTCCCTTGATGGGGAACATTGAACAAGTAGAGAAAGGAAGTCTATGCAATACCCTTTCACCGTGTGAAGAACCTAAGCATCTGATGAAATGAGGGATCATACATGGGAAAAATGTGTGAGCCTGCCCCCCACTATCAGTAAGAAAGAATGGAAATTGTGAAGACGTCTTAGGAGCACCTCTTAGGCCACTAACAATCCAGGGTCGGCCACTTTGTGAGAAGGAGGTTGGTATAGTACATTGTTCAAAGAAATCGGCTCGGCAAGTATAAGAGCCTTGGTTCTGTCTAAAAGAACTTCTGTTTGTTTAGCAGGACAAAGGAGCCCGATTCTTTTACAAAGTTGTCCTCAAAGAGAAAACCTTTTGCCTGTGTTATCTGGCTCGTTTGGGCTCAATCTTGAGCAAGATCGATTTGTGGCGTTCTGTGACAACCGAATTGTTGGCGTTGCCAACTTAAATTACTCTCTGGATCTAACCACTTAAGATGGCGCAATCTAATTCTAGATCATCCTCCACTGCTTCAAAGATCTTGGCTGCTGAGCCCAAGATGCCCAGGATTTTATCCTGACAGTTTTGCAATGAAAATCTAAGCCTTTAGATCGCTTCCATCCTGTCTTACTCAGGAATTGAATGCTTTTAGGATTGACTGATAGCATTTAACATGAGTCATCAGGGACTGTTCGGCGTGGCCATTCAGCCCGCAATTTATTTCACTTTGCCTTCTCAAAAGGCTTGCGTACTCTGGATGCCAATATACTTGGCTACATGGTCTGAGGAGACCACTGGATGACATAGGTCGTCAGGTTCGAATAGGGGTTCACATTGAGTGTCCAAGATCCTATCGGTGTCCCTGAGTCTGCATAATCTACCTAAATCTTGGTAGGTTTAAGTGTATCCCAAACGGGATTAGCATCCTCTTCATCAGTAATTTCATAATCAGGATCAGAAATATCCTCTGAATCCTTCATATAGGACCCAGGGAACTCCTCCTCAATATCACTGAGCTCAGATTCAGAGTTCAGTTGGGCTTTTGCCCTTTTCCAGTCTAGTCGATTTTGCCTGACTAGTAGCTCTTTTGCGCGGTGGTAAATTAATCGCGCCATCCGTGACAGGTATGGAACTGTCCATCTCTATTGTTTTGGAGGAGTGTTTAGCCTTATATGAGGCCTTGCGGCCAGGCTGAAGCAGAGCAGGTGTGAGTACAGATACACCTCCATATAGTACTCAGGGAACTCCTCCTCAATATCATATAGTACTCAGGGAACTCCTCCTTAATATCCCTGAGCTCAGATTTAGAGTTCAATTGGGCTTTTGCCCTTTTTCAAAGTCTAGTCGATTTTGCCCGACTAGTAGCTCTTTCGCGTGGTGGTAAATTAATCACGCCATCCGTGACAAGTTTGGTACTGTCCATCTCTATTGTTTTGGAGGAGTGTTTAGCCTTATATGAGGCCTTGCGGCCAGGCTGAAGCAGCGCAGGTGTGAGTACAGGTACACCTCCATATAGAATTCGGTGAACTTCTCCTCAATATCACTGAACTTGGATTCAGAGTTTAATTGGGCTTTTGCCCTTTTCCAAAGTCTAGTCGATTTTGCCCGACTAGTAGCTCTTTTGCGCGGTGGTAAATTAATCGCGCCATCCATGACAGGTATGGTACTGTCCATCTCTATTGTTTTGGAGGAGTGTTTAGCCTTATATGAGGCCTTGCGGCCTGACACCAGGGCCTTGTCATTGCTTTTGCCATGGAAGTGTCAATTAAAGCCTGCATGTCAGCAGGATCAGTAAAGCAGAAATTCAGCCTCATCTCCAGAGATACCTGGAGAGGCTTCTACATTAATCTGCATGTTTGCTGTAGACCCAGAAGGCACAGAAAGATCCTGTCAGATTGCATCATAAATATACAAACAAACCTAAGGGGCTGAATAAAGCAAAATAATACCAAAAGTAAAGGGTTGAGTAACCCTCAAGTAAAAATAAATAACTAAACAGGATAAAGAAATGAAAGTACTCACAATAGTGAAAAAAAATAGCAATTGTAATATAAAAACAAAGGAGCTGCCCGGCTGCCACTATAACTAATCCCCGACTTGGATTTCTGGCAGTTGGTGGCAGAGCAGCAGCCAGACAGATAAATTAAGGGAAAAAAACAGCACAATGGCCCTATTCAGGAGATAAAGATCCTCAAAGACGTCCCTGAGCCCCAATTGATGGTAATCTTGGGGCCAAGGAGGTCAGAGGGGAAATACATTATCAAAGGATATATAATAAAGCATATAACAGACGCAAATGAAGTAAATAAATCAAATTACGTTAAAATGAAGTAACTAAATATATTTATAAACATGAAAATATTATAATTAAAATGGAATAACTATAATAACTATATTAATCACAGTAATGATATGAATAAAGTAAAGTAAAAGATCCCACAGTTAAGAACCATGGGACCAAGTGTCACTTAACTGAGGTAGCAGCAAAGAAAGAGGGAGTAGTATACTGAACACTGCCTATTATGCTATAAAGAGGATGCTGATTGGCTGTTGCTGTTGCTAGGAAGATATACTTCATGTTATTTACTGGTTTCTTTTATACTGATTTAATGTTATTTTTCTTTGCTGCTGAGGTAAATAAAGAAAGAGTGCAGCATAATAGGAGCCTCCGTGTCTTAATAAAATCAGCTGAAAGCTCAGACACAGAGAAAGGAAAGAAACCCTGACAATTACATAGTATGTCACTTTTTGTACTAGGGAGTTGCATAAATATAATACATTTCAGAGTGAAAATTAGGATATTTTAGGATATTTTAGAATTTTGCACAATAATGTTTTTCACTTACATTGTCTATAAAGATTTTCAGTATATGTGTATCATCGACATAGAAAATATAAGAATAAGATCGGCAATACATATGTATGCTTTTTCAATTGAACTGTAATGAGATATTTAAGGATTAAGAAGCTCTAGATCGTTGGACACTTATGGTGCGTATAGTGAGCGCCCCCTTTAAGGACTGTGTGGAACGCAAAGACGAAGTGGAACACACTAAGTGAGCGGAGCTCGTTTGCAAGCAGGGAAAAAAAATGGATATGTATGACGCGGCGTCATGCAGAACCGGAAGTGATGTCGCTGGAATTGAAAGTGCAATCAAGAACGAGGCTTGAACGGCAATACAGACGCTCCTGAGGGGAGTTACGGTACTCACATGCATATATATAGACAGACTTGGGATTTGATGGTTTACTGCATCAGACTGAGGAAGTTATTGAGGCGACATGCTTCTTAGGGACTACAATATTGGTTTTACATATATATTCTTTTACCTTTATTTTATTTACCATCAACGTTCCTGTATTTTGAAAAAGGATGGTATGATCCCCAACCATACTCTGCTGTTACACTGAGCCAATATATAGGCTCCAGGCTTGTGAGTATTCTACTTACTTCCTGTACGTTGCACTATTTGTATATCTTTTTGTCTTGAGATACTGGCTACCACAACCCTACATATGATACCCCTCGACTCTTCTAATTAAAAGGGGAAGGTCGCCTAAACTAACCTGCCGGCCAATATTCCCAGAGCTAGGTTATAGCTTTGAAACATGAGTGCCCCATTATTTTGTATGCAGTTTATTGATAAGCCTTCTATGTGCAACAGTGTCTGTTTGCACTAGGTATATCAATTATCTATTTTCACAATTTAAACTCTCCACTGTATCTGGTAAATATATGAGAGAATAGCTACTTCCCTAAGGAAGCCCCTATGACTAACTCAATACACCAAAAAGCAGAGGGTGCACCTATGATGTAAACGTATGGAGTTAATAATACAATTAATAACTAAAAATAATAACTTAGAAACCGAGTGTAAAGTCAGAGTACATACTCCTTGCTTTCGGCAATTCAATAATGTTTATTAACAGGCTAATCAAACAAAAAAACAATACATATACATTTGAAATAGGCTAGTAAATGTTGCTACCAAAACTAGTCATTGATTGAATGGAAAGTTAACTAAATTAACATAGTGAAACAGGCATAGACACGTGATACAGTTACCACTCCATTGATCATATGCTGAGAGTAAGATAAGAGAGAGCTTGTTGTATTCACAGGGCATTTATCAGGATAGCCCAGGATAGCCCTTCCTTCTTTTGGTCACACCTCCCTAAGCCAATCTTTCAGGATCTAACAGAACCAGAATGACTTCTGGGGAAAAAGGGATTGCACTGGATGGGAATGGAGGAGGCGTTTATAAATAACCCAACTGGTTTTGCCTGGTGAAAGGCCATGTGCTCACAGAGGACTCCATTATTGCCTAAGGGTAGAATGGGACTTGAATCCCTGTGTTAGAACACAATAACACTTAATTTCCATACAGCTTGGCTGTTAATCATTCCCGCCACTTATTACAACTTACATACCAGTGGGAGACAGGTGGAAAAAATCCCTAAAAGCAAAGGAGGACAGGGACAAAGCGCAAAGTTAAAATATATATGTACAGCTAATGCAAAGGTAAGCTATATTTACCTACAGATACCGTGGGTGGGGAATAGTTCCGCTACTCTTTAAGTTATTTACAGGGTGTTACGGTACCCTCAGCATGAAATGCACAAACCGACGTTTAGTGAATCCTCCCCTCGCAATAGCATAGGCTGCATGCGTATCCAGTATAATCATGCGAACCGCAAGCAAGGGAACACTGCAAACTCACGAACGGGATCCGTACGGGCACTTCACTCCACGAGCTCCAAACTCACGAATCACCAATAGCAACCGAACGCATATATCTCCCAAGCGGCTAATAATTCCATCCAGCAGTCTCTAGTCATCGGTAATAAATCCCCCCAATAACGAGACCAAGCTCCACATTGAAGGTAAAACAAGAACTGGCTTTACTGTGGGCTACCTGCCCGTATTTATGCAGGTCTCCCACTTGGTGGACACTCCCCTAGGGGACCAAATGGGAGACTGTAATAATAGACAGACATATGGCAGGTCAGGACCCACAGACACAGAACATTCCCACAATGCATTAGTATGCCCTCCCCTCTGTCCTGGAGATAATTGAGAAGTAATTCAATTATCTCCAGGACAGAGCCAAATCGCCATTTTAAATTCAACACAGAAAAACACATAAAAATATATAACTTTGCATTTGTCGAATGCTA